ATTAAAAAGAGAAAGAAAAAAGGAATGAAAGCTTTTGCAGTGCAGCCAATGCTGAGAACTGAGACCTGTGAATCGCAAACCATTGGTATCATACACTACTTCTTCACTTTACAGAAACGTAAAAGATGTATTTTATCCCTGAATAACTACAGGGGGAGGAAATAAACTCCTAACCATCCACCAAAGTCTGAAATAGTGGCCAGAAAACCACATAGTAGAGACAGCATTCACATTTGTTAGTTTAGGTCACACAGGACAAGCTTAAAGGGGTAGCTCAAGTGGCAGGTATGTGACCACCACGATCTGGGAGGCTGGACACATGTAGAAACTGACTCTCAATGTGCCAGGACTACTATTCTTCAAGGCAAGTGTCCTGCTCTGGATTTCAGCTCGTCTTCACGAGAAACCTAGCATTTGGGTGGCTTTCCTCCTGAGACCCACCTTCCCCAGCCACCTCACTACCTATGGTGGCAGCAGGAAAGACTGACCTGCCGCTGCAGCGCTTCCAATGGCCTGTAGAGTTGAGCGGCCACTGCCTGTTCTTCGAATGGTGCTGCTACCCCCTTCCGAGCTCTGGTTCTCAATCTTGTGCTCTACTCGGGCCAGCTCCTGGATCACCTCCTGGTAGCGCTCCATGAACAGCAGCTCCCCTGAGCTGGGCGAGGACGTCAGGTTGAACGTGAACACCACCTGGTGCGGGAAAGGGAGGGGTGTGGGTCACAGTGAGCCCACTGAGTTGGGGAATGCCTTGAGATGTGGGATCTTGCCTATCATTAGACTGTAACTCTAAAACATCTGCTTTATAGGGTGGGAAGAACACTGCATGATAGAAGAGCTGATCAAATATAGAAATAACTTATTCAAGTCAGCAAGAAAGCCACCAAAACCCCATTAGAAAATTGGCAGGAGATATGGACAGTTTCAAAGAGAAAATACACGTGACTGATACATAGATGAAAAATGTTATCCCTTTCAGTAGTCCAGGAAACTTAAGTCATATTAATACCAGTTTGCATCTATCACAATGACAAAGTGTACAAATAAACGCTCAGGGGTGGTGGTAAAATGAACTGTCACAACCTTTTTGGAAAAGCAATTTGGCAAGCTATAAAGCTTTAAAAACATTTATATTCTTTGACTCCAAAATGTTCATGAGAAACTTTCTTAAGGAAATAATTCAAAAGGCTGATAATAATCTAAATGTTGAATAAACAAGAGAATGGTCAAATGCAGCTACTTGATCAGATTACTGTAAGGTCATTAAATCAATTATAAGGCAAATGTTTAAAATGCTTTATGTAAAATTTTAAATGAAAAATAATCTTGGCTATATAAAAGTTGCATACATCTTGGAGAAATAAAGGCAAAAAATATACTTCCCCTTTGATATTGCTCCTAGACAATAGGGTTACAAGTAATATTATTTTCTTTTTAATACTTTTGGTATTTACTTACAATACACATTGCTTTTTCTGTAATGAGGTTAAAAAATGAAAAGCTTTTATTAAAAAGAAAGATCAAGGACCCAGGAAAAGAACAGGAAGCGCGGACATTTAAGGGTAGAGTGTCGGGGGGTCAGAAATGCTGGGGAGGGCCCTAGCCTCCCTGGAGGGTCAGAATTACCATTATTATTAAAGTACAGGGCCTAAAATGACCAGAAGCTAAGCAAAGATTCTCCTATCACCTGGATTTCTCCTTAATTTAGTCCTCAACAACTGAGCTCACACAAAAGAAAAAGTCTGATCTATGTTTTAAGGGACGAGCACAGTGTGACAAATACACATGGACCAATGGAGTTTGAAAAATTAGAATGGTACATTTCTATGCCATTACATTTAAACAAGAGCAGAGGATTCATATATTTCTCACAGCTTGTACAGAATCCTCTTACCATGCCCATGAGGTAGGACAAGCAGGTATTATGTTTAACTCCAATTTTCTTTATTTTTTAAAAAGATTTTATGTATTTATTTTTAGAGAGAGGGAATGGAGGGAGAAAGAGAGGGAGAGAAACATGGATCAATTGTCTCTCACAGGCCCTCAACCAGGGACCAGGCCATAACCCAAGCACGTGCCCTGACCAGGAGTTGAACCGGCGATCTTTTACTTTGTGGGACGATGCTCAATCGACTGGGCTACGCTGGCCAGGACTTAACTTCAATTTTCATATGGGGATACAGAAGCTCAGGGAGGGTGAGTCTCTCTGATGTCTTCTTGTGCTTTTTCCTATAGAACATGAATGTTTTAGTTTGGTATCCCCTACACTTGTATATTGAATTGACAGTATTTATTATTAAACATTGTCTACATCATAATTTTTAAGTATATAAAATCATATATTTGTTCAGAAAAGGTTTATTAGAAACAAAAATATTTCCATGTTTTAAAATGGTAATATTGTAGCTGAATATTTTATCTTTTAAAAATACTACTTAAGAAAACAAGCCAATGCTTCAACAGCTCAAACCTCCTCCAGCTTGGGTCTTGAAATCTGCAAGGCTGAGGACCGGGCCGTGTCCAGGCAGACTCTCTCCTGTTTCTCCTGCTGCACGTGGCGCCTCAAACCTTCCCAAATGGCTCTGGCTGCACGAGTGTCCAGGTTTACCTGAGGCCCAGCAGGTCCCACACAGCTAGGGGCTGACTTCACATTCTTTACTATGACAAGGTGAGGCCTAGGCTACTAACACCTGCTGCTCAGCCCCTTACCTGATGGGCTTCTGCAAAGTTCCCCCGGAGGATGCAAGATACCAGCAGTGACTCAGGTGGGGAGAACATCATGGGGATGAATGAACTTTGGGTTTGGGGCTGCATCCGACCATCCAACTCATTCCTTCCGGACACAATGTTCAGGCTTCCCTCTGTTGGGAGACAAGAACGTGGCAGCCACGGACACAACAGTAACTGAGGAAAAACTACTGCTGTGACCTCCCACCACACTCTGATATCTTCAAGTTCCTTTCCTTTATAAAGATTCTTTATTTATTCTTAGAGAGAAGGGAAAGGAGGAAGAAATAAGAGGGAGAGAGATATCAATGTGTGGTTGCCTCTCTCATGCCCCCAACTGGGGGCCTGGCCTGCAACCCAGGGCATGTGCCCTGACTGGCAATGGAACCAGCAGCCTTTTGGTCTGCAGGCTGGAGCTCAATCCACTGAGCCACACCAGCTGGGGCTCAAGTTTCTTTTTAAAAAGGTGTGTAAATGGGTCTTGCTTTTTCCTCGATTGAAGGGCAAATCTATGTATGCTACTGTCTTTGAATACAAGACTTAAGTACCATTCTGTCCTCTCTGCTGATAGGCAACTAAATTGAGAGTGAAACAGCCCTTTCCCTACTGAAATCTGTTTGGCCATCTAGAGAACCAAGCTTCTTTTTTTGAAAAATTGACATATAATTGACTTGTAGTTTTAGGTATACAACATAATGAGTTGACATACTGTGAAATAATCACCAAAGTTTAGTTAACATTCATATCATCGCACATGGTTGCATTTTTTTTTCTTTTGATGAGAACCTTTTTCAGGAACTTTCAAATACACAATGCAGTATTATTAACTATAGTCACCATACTGTAAGTTACGCCCCCAGAACTTCTTTATTTTATAAGTGGAAGTCTGTATCTTCCTGAACACAACCTCCCCGAACTGCTCAGTCCAGGTTTTCACACCGTGGTGAATGCAACTCCCTACCAGGGCAAAGCTGCCTGGAGCTGGCAACGGGTCGGGTCGCCCATACCTGAAGTACTCGTGCTCAGCTCACTACTCGTACTTTCCAGGGAAGGATTGGAGCCTCTGTCCCGGCCATCTGGACATGTTAGGAAGAACAGAGAAAATCAACCAGCAAGTCCTTACAATGTAGAAAGTGAGAAGTTGGCTTGAAAACAAGAAGAGCTGGTAGTTAGAGGGAGAGGATAATGGTTAACTATTACACCTGGGCTTCTTCTATAGACAGACACAGTTCCTATGGACCAAAGGGGAAGGGCAGACTCAGTGGGGCCTTGACGCTCCTCCAGGTGGTAGCCTATACCAGTGGTCTCTAACCTGTGGGTCTCAGAGCCCCAGGGCCTCCAAGTTACTTTTAGGGGTTAGCAACCCCCATCTGCTCACTAAGCATTATCAATATTCTGAAGGAAAAAAAGCACAACTACTATGAACAGAAAGTAGTAGGCTGCAAAGGAGGGCACAAAACTAGCCAACATAGAAAGTTGTTCTCACACTTGAGTAAGACCTGGTCTGCTAAAGACCACATTATTTAAAGCCCTCGCAGGGGCGCCCAACCTTTTGGCATCTCTGCCATACCAGAGAAGAGTTGTCTTGGGCCACACATTAAATACATTGCAGCACGTAATCACAAAAAAAACTCACATTTTAAGTTTACGATTTTGTGTTGGGCCGCAGGTTGGACACCCCTACAGGGGAAAAGCTTCTTTTCAACACCTGCTTTTCCTAGTGAACGGGGCTCACTGTTCCTTAGTGTGGGCATTCGAGGGCAGTGTCAGCCCCACGCGAGGGAGTCTTCTCGGCTCACTGTTTGGAAAGGAACAGCCGTAGAAAAGATGGCTTGCGCACTTTTGGGACAGATGGGGCAGATGGATGCAAACTGTGCCTTCGACTCAAACCAACTAAGTGAGCAGCTTAAGGGCCTTAGCAACTCAGCCTTGACGTTTCCTAGGTTTCTCTCATAATATTCTCCACTCTCCCCAGTATGCTCACTTTTCTCATTGCCACTTAGCTGCAGTCTTTGCAATCTTCTGAGCTTGGTTCAAGAGTCAACTTTTTCAACAAATCTGTTTTTCTGACTCAAGAGATATCTTCTGTTTTCAGGCAGTGCCTCAGTGAAGTTTAAGTTTTTCATATAAACCATCTATGAAGATAACTCCAAAAAATTTTAAAGGCAAAGTCCTGATGTATGCCTCATCCAATTCCCTCAAGATAACTAAACAATATTTAATATTGTTTAGGACACAGGAGACTCCTAGGAATTCCCTGTTAATTATTTAAAAACCAAAAGGGCTCTGTTGTGAGTGGCACACGCAGGGCAGCCCGACTGCTCTACGTGCAGAATGGGCTTCAAGAGATTTTGGAAGCATAATTTTTTGGTACCTGGGCAGCTAGTGATCATTGGTCCTGGTACCTGTGTGGGGGGGGGAACCCCAAACTCCCAAAACTCAGCACCAAAAACCAAATGGAAATATGATTATGTAAAAACTTAACACTCCTATATAAAATTTCTTAAGAAAAATTCAAAGTCAAAAGACAAAATGGAGAAAAAATGTTAGTACGTAATGACAGAATATTGTCCATAATATATAAGGAGCTTCTTACAATTCAGGAAGAAAGATGAACCCAACAGAAAATATGGACCTTAGACATGAATAGGCAGCTCACAGAAAAAATATAAATAGCCAGAAAATATATGAAAACATTCAATCTCTAACTAAAAACAAATATTAAAATAAAGGTATATATTGCTGTATTAATCATGTTGGCAAAGATTTGAAAAAATCTGATACTACTCATTTTTAATGAGTGTATGTGCAAATAGGCACTCACAGCATTTGGTGGGAATGTAAATTAGGCCATCTTTGTGTTTTTAGGCAATCTGGTAATATCTTAATTTTATATCCACATTTTATCCTCAACTTTGCTATTCCACTGTTAGAGTCTTATCCCACAGATACACTCACACAAGTATGCACAGGCATGTATGTCCGGGGCTGTTTACTGTGGCACTGTTTATAATAGTAAAAAACCCAGAAACGATTTAAATGACCACAAAAATGTACAATTTAAATGACCACAAAAATGTATGATAATGAAATGTTAAGCAGCATTCAAAATGAGTGAAACTAGTAAGTTCTCAATATACAGTATGCATTTCTAGTATGATACAGACATATCATACTATAAAGGACACAGTGAAAAAAGTTACAGTTCTCAGTGATATATCTGCATATATAAAATTATATACTTGTACTGTATGGAGAAGAAAACTATTGGCATGGGGTTACCTTGGTAGAATGGGACTAGGGTAGTCTTGGATTGCTTCTGTTTGTTTGGCCCACGTGCTTTATCTTAAAGAGTATTAGACAAGTGGCGATAGACCACTTGCCTGGTGCACAGGAATGAGGCAAGAGGAGAGCTCGTCAGGTTACCTGCCCGGCTCCTTCGTGTCCGACGGCCCCGGCGGAGACTGGGGTGCCGTGTGGCGATGGGCCGGTATCTTCGGGAAGGTTGCTCCTCTGAAACAGCAAACCCAAAGTGTCACCTGGCAGAGTGATCAGTGTTGACTTTGACCCACCTCCTGGGGTAACAGGAGGGGCAGACTCGGACTGGGCCTTGAGACATGGTTCTGACACTAGTTGCTATGGTAACATGCCTTGAGTCGTGGTATAACTCCCACGCACTCCTCGCTCTCTCCCACATTCCTGGGATTTTTCTCCCTCCTCACTTTCTGGACCATTGGTTCTGTACCTTCTCTCACCTGAGCCTTGGTTGCTTGTGACCACCTTGTATCTCCACTGGGCCTCAGAGAGAACCTTGGAAAAGCGGTGCAGGCGGCTCTGCAGTCCGTCTCTGGTCCCTGAGCAGCTCTGGCCTTCGGGCAGCTTTGGCTCCTCAGGGGGGCTATGGCTGCTGAGCTCATCCAGCTGCTCCTGGAGAAGCCTGAGGAAGGCCCCCATTGCAAATTCATCAGCCAGGAACCCACTGATACCACTAGTGAAGTGCTTTAGGTCCAAAAAGCTGTGCCCATAGGGTCTGGGGGAACTGTCTTTTGTCTCTGTCCTCAGACAACTTGGAACTGCATTAGCAAGGTTCCTGGGGACTCCCAGGGAAGCCGGTTCTGACTTCCTCTCGGGTTGCGTTATGTGCTGAGGGCTCTCTGGAGGGGACTTCAAGCCCAGCAGCCCCTTCCCATCAACATCCTCCTCCTCGGCATAGTCCTCGGGCAGGTGAGGCTCTGGGTGCAGATCGGCAGAGGTGATGAGGAGCAGCGAGAAGATGTTTTCTAGAAGTTCCAGGCACAAAGAGTCAGGAATACTGCGCAGATACTGCTGACACCTGGCCAGGTATTTTGAGAAGAGGTCTGAAGCACCTACAGGAGCATATATGAGAGAAGTGGACAGAGAAAGAGAAGAGAAGAAATGCAGACATTAGAAACATTACTTGCCAGACTCAAATGCTCTCACAACTTTAGCTCTTTATTTACTTATGTTGTAATGACTAAGGGAAGTATGGTCACAGTCAGGAGAACAGGACTCTTCAGCGATGTCTTCTCATGATTTGCAGAAAGACTTTGTTACCTGAATTAAAAGTACAGCTGACTGAATACTTGTTATTTTGTTTCTGCTTTCCATATATTACATTATTCCTCATCTCTGACAAGCACTCCAGCATACAGACTCCTCACTCTGGAATTCTATTTTCACTGGTTGATATACGAATGGGGATCAAGGGCTACCTAGACCTCCTGAGAAATACTCACTAGTCAGAAATGACCAAGCTCAGAGCCGAAGGTCTGTTCCAAAGCTACAAGGGACAGAGAACAGACCAGCAGTCACACATGGCAAGTTAAAGTTTTGTAAGCTATTAAGAAAAATGACAGAGGATAGGAAATACCTTCTTTCACACTGTAGTTATGACCCATGACATTGAATTAGAGGCTGCATTAAAAAAAACGAAATACAACAAGCAATCAAGAGCATACTCTGTTTGGAAGGGTGAGTATGTTGTTCCTCAAAATGGATTTCAGTTTATATATCAGTTATACACATATGTACAAAAACACACAAATTACATGACTATGGGCAGACTGCAGTATAATGTGAAATGCTATTTTTATTGTGGACTATAGTAAAAAAAAGCATTTGGAAAACACTGCACTAGTGATCAGACTCTATCAGAACTTAGGCAAGTCACTTGCTTTCTTCATGTCTCTCTGATTAACACAGGCTCATAAATAGGTGAAATTATTCCTGGGCATAATAAAACCAAGGGCCACTTCCCCAATCCTGGTGGGTTGGGGTTCCTACATAAAGGAATCTCTGGAACAAGTTACCAGCTCATATCAGGAATGGGGGCAGTGCTGTACCTGAGGAGGACTCATTCACTGGCCCTGTAGCTGCGGCCAGGTCCTCGGAGGGGCTGTCTTTGCACTCCCGGCACACGGTGTGCTGGTGCGAGTTCACGCAGAGGGCGTAGATGGCGTACTTCATGGCACAGAAGCCCTGGTACAGTGTCAGGTTCTGGCACTGGCTCAGGTGCTCAGGGGCCAGGGCATCAGCCGAATCTGAATGGTAGAGAGGCAGAACTTCAGAGCTGGTTCTTTCAGGTATGGGTTGTAAGGATGGCTGAAGCAAAGAGATGCTGCATTTCTCCGTCCTTTCTGTCAGTTTGATCTGTTCAACATAGCCCTCGTGGTGCTTTAATGAGACTTTTCCTTAAATTTCTTAAAATTTTGGCTTCCCTTTTCTAAAAAATGAGAACTTAGCAAATGTGTAGTCTACCTAGTGCCACATTATCTAGGAGGTAGGCTTAAAATGAGCAATGAGAGCAAAGGAAGCAAACATTTTTTTGAAAAAAAATTTCATCTTTTAAGAAAGCAATGAAGCCCTGGCTGGGGAGCTCAGTGGTTTAGAGCATTGTCCTGATACCCCAAGGTTGCAAGATGGATCCCTGGTCAAGGCACATACAGGAATCAACAAGCGAATGCCTGAGTAAGTAGAATAAATTGATGCTCTGCTCTCTCCCCCTTTCTCTCTCTCTCTAAAAGAAAAAAAGAAAGTAAAAAATAATTAAAAAAGAAAAGAAAAGAAAGAAAGCAATAAAGCAGACATGGGGAAAAACACAAACTCTGAAATTCCTCGTACTCCTTTAATAATTTAAAACTTCTCATTAAAAAATACTGTGCTTGAGGAGAAAGGGGGGCACCGTAATTTTTAGAGTCTCTAAACATCTTAATTTGCCTTCAATCCTTTTCATATTAAAAGTACAACATTCTTCAAGAAAAAGCATTAAATGTAGCGAAGCAAAGGAGAAAAAAATATCACCTGTAGTCCTTCCAGCTAAACATAACCATTGTTTACAGTGTTTCATCCCCTTTGATAGTTTTGCATATACGTATGTGTGAGTGTGTGGGTACACTGAGTGTCATGACATCTTCTATGCTACTTAATTTTCCTACTTCTTCTTCTTTTTTTTTTTTTTTAAGATTTTATTCATTTAGCTTTAGAGGGGAAGGGAAGGAGAAAGGGAGAGAAATATCAATGTACGGTTGCCTCTCATGTGTTCCCTGCCGGGAACTGGCCTGCAACCCAGGCATGTGCTCTGACTGAGAACTGAACCACAATCCTTTGGTTCATAGGCTCGCGCTCAATCCACTGCGCTACACCAGCCAGGGCAAATTTTCCTACTTCTTAAAAATCCATTATCGTATAAACATTTGACTATGCTTCTTCCTGAACTAAATTTCTGATGGCTGCGTCTAGTGCTACTGAGGCACAGTCCTCCAGGGCAGGAGTTAGGAACGCTTTCCCACTGTGATATCGCAATAAACCCCTTTAGGTATAGGCTTCCTAGCAATGCCTTCTTCGTTTGCCAAAGTCAGGGTAAGAAATCGAACAAGATCAATACTGTTCTATGCCCCTGGCCTCTACACTGCATTGCTGCCCAGGCTCAGGACTTGCAAGCCCTTGCACGACCCTGAGGGTGAGTGGCTCCTTAAAATTTGTACCCCAGATGCCTCTCCTGCTTCACCATAGTCCCAGTCCTTATTGCTCCTCTTGTACCTTTTCCTGGTGGGTCACCAGGGATCAGAACTAAAGGGCTGCTTTGGAAGCTTTTTGTACTTGAATGTAGAAAACGGAGGTCCAGTTCCTTTAGGAAATCTGTTGAACAACTTGCCTACCTTTCTAGAAAAAAATATAGAATGTAATGACACTGGTTTTCCACTTAGTGGTAGGTCCTTTTTCAAAGTCAATCTAAGCAATATCTAGGCTGGGCAACATCTATGGCCACGTGGGAAGGCTTGTTTCTCTCAAAGCTAAGTGTCCTAAGGCTTGTGTGGCAGGTCGCAACTGCAATATGATATCATTCATGAGAGCAAAAGAGCTTGTTAATTGGGACTTTAATTTTAAGT